TCACTGCGGTGCTGGGGAGAGAACCCCCGGCTCTGCGCAGTCGGAGTTCGAGGAGACGCGGCAGGCCTGGGGACGATGGAATTCTCTTGGTGCAGATGAAAATGCTACTCGAGAGAGAGAAAAGGATGAGCGTGAGCTGCGGGATGCAGGAGCCCCCTAGTGACGGGGCGGCGCGCAGGGTCCGGTACGCCCTAACACGCTGTGCGAGCTGCGGCCTCAGAGCACCCCAGGCACGGACGCGCGCTGGCGGTGAGTGGAGAGCGCACCCGTCCAGAGACAGCCGCGCTTGGGGCGAGTCGTTACGTTGCTAGGTTCCTAGCGTTGTCCCCTACAGTTTATTTGGTGGCTGCGGAGGACTTCTCTTTCTGTAAAGTACATGCGTTAAAATGAGCCAGCGAACACGAAGACCTTTTTTTTGTTATTGTTGTGTTAGAGAGGGAAGGTCTTGTGATGGAGCCCGTGTTGCCTCAGCACTCAGTTTGTAGCCAGGGTTAGTCTCGAACTCCTGGTAAACCTTATGTCTCTGATCTTCTCAAGTGCTGGGATTACAGGTGTGTGCAACACACACACACACACACACAGAGAGAGAGAGAGAGAGAGAGAGAGAGAGAGAGAGAGAGAACACAAAACATTATGTAAGTGCTCCCCCAATTTTATCTTTTCACTTTTGAGACTGGTCCGCTCCATGTAGCCCTGGCTGTCCTGTCTCTAGGTAGACCAGGCTGGTCTCAAATTCAGATTCACCACCCTTAGCCGCCACAGTTCTGGGATTAAAGGTGCACACCACCATGCCTGGCCCAATTTTGTCTGTTTTGATCACCTACCCCTCTCGTTCTTTTCGATGGGGAAAAATACACAGAAATCTTTAAGAATAAGGGTGTGCTGGTCAGAATTCCTGTAGTCCCAACACATGAGGCAGGCGGGTCCAGAAGTAGTTCAAGGCCGTCTTCTGCAACCTAAGGGGCCCAAGGCCAGTGTGGACTGTCTGAGAAGTGGCCACACCACCTCACAGCACTTTTGTTTAGTAGGAGTTATATTAAGTGTGAATTATTGAGTGTGTATAGTGCGTCACTCAGTTTCTGTCTCATCAGCAGTGACCTATGGAGCAGGTATTAGGCCGATTTTGAAGAGAGGAAATTCAGAACAGAGAAGTCTCGGTGGGTAAAGGCCCTTGTTGCTAAGTCTGACTACTGCCTGCCTTCAACCCCTGGAACCCACATAGGCACTCATGTGCCGCCCCCAGATAAATATTTTTAAAAAACAGTTTTTTTAAAAACATTTATTTATTATTCCCGGTGGTGGTGGCCCACACCTTTAATC